ACTTAATTGGTCTTTTCGAGACGAAAACTCACATCGAAATTCCGGTTGACATTTCATGAGTTAGCCCACCCACGGTAGGTACTCGTTTTTCACGCAGTCACTGACAGATTTGCGTACCTGCTCTAACTAACTAGACAGGTCAGCGCACTTCCAGCTACCGATCGACCATTCGGTGGTGTTAAACGACACTCCTCTCGGCAACAGCGTAGGCGGTGATTCCGTCAACAGTGGGTCCTTGATGAAAGGTCTGCACGAGTAAAACTTGAGTTTCGCGACTTGTGCCAGTAAGGTTTGAGGCGGTCTCAACAGTAACGACCTTATGAAGGCCTATGACGCGTGAGTAATCCCTAAACACCCAACAGACTGGTGATTTGGCCCACTTTGTGCACAGGCGTGAGGAAACTGCAGATAGTGAGCTATGCTTATACTCAATCTTGAAAATTATCACTTTACAGACAAGATTCTTACGTCCTCACACATAATGCCCTTAGCAAGACTATGAGAAACGGATGTTCCGCCAATTTTGTGGGGGTAAAAGTACATCCAATGGTCAGTGAAAAAGGGTAGTAACATACTGCCTATATCATGCCCCGCTGTACGGCTGCTGGTTGGGCTCGAGAGAGAGCCCGTTAGGCACGACGGAACGAGGGAGTTCCGTAAGAACAATCGATGAACGTCCTCTATCACTGGAAGCACCTCACTCGTTGGCCAAAACGACTGATCGACCCTAAACTAGCGCACCATACCAGTCAGTAACGCAAGGTCATTTAGGTTATCTTTTTAATATGAATGTATAAGTCAAAGAATGTAGTAGGTAATTCGGCAGTTTGGACGCAAACCGTAGGCGTGGAGAAGGCTGCGAAGGGAGTGAGGAAGGCACAGACGCAAGTCGGAGGAATCCCCTGGAAAAAAGTAGCAGCGCAGCGCTACGCCAAATCGGGCACCTTATTCCAGTCGCAGTTAACGACGGATAACTTTGTGGGCAATAGAAAAGTCCCTTGTTTGGGGGGGGGGGGAAGAAGTAGGAAACGCGGCAGCATTACCAATAGATCCGCCACTGGTATATGCAATTGAAAACGTCACTTGAGGGTGGGGGGAGGAGGCCGGGAAACTATTTTAATGTACATTTATGATGTCGGAAGCCACCGTGGAAAGCACAGTACACCAGGATTAGTAGGAAGGAATGGACCTCATGGGATGAGCGACGAAAGAAGAGGCTCGAAATTCCCGAGGAAGATTACGAAGCTTTGGATGCACAAGTAATTCAGCTAGTGCGCGAGAAAGGTTGTCTGCACCCTGTGCAAAGGCGAAGAAACATTTATCTGGGTTATCGCGGCTATCCAATTCCTGCAATTGGCCGGCCCAAGTCGATGCGATCTCTGCAACCTGGAAGGAGCAATGAAAAGTGTGAGTTCACAAGTGTAAGAGCTTTACTCCTCCGAGCAACTGACTGCTATGAAAAGGAGAACACAGGTCATCAGCCTCGGGGTAGCACTGCGAAGAGGGGCAACGCAGACATGCGCTCACTTCTGTCCGTCAAAAAAGGCGAAACACACATCGGAAAGAGTGAGTTCCGTAATAACGATCGGTGCGCGCCCCCTATCAGTGTATATTCCTGATCGAAAACCGACAGGGCAACGGGCTCGTGGCCCAGAGGTTAGAGGCGTGGACTTCTAGCTAACAGGTCACGAGTCCGAGCCTCGAGTTTTCCACACTTCGGGCTTGGGTATGGCCGGCTGACGACGGCTAATAAGCCAGAAATGGCCATTCCAGTCTCCCTTGTCTTTGTCGGTAATAAGATACTGCCTATATCACGCGCCACTGTGCGGCTGCTGGTTGGGATCGAGAGAGAGAGAGAGCCCGTAAGGCACAACAGAACGAGTGAGTTCCGTAAGAACGATCGGTGATCGTCCCCTACCATTAGGAAAACATGTAATTTTGACGGACCCAATGCCCTGGATGACGAGAACCACGGAAAACGACGCCTGGTGACCCAATGGTGGTGGTGACCCTCAGGCGAGGCCAGCAGTGATGTAGGCAGCTTCGAGGATAAGGTGAATAAACAGGTACGGACCATACGAGCAAGAGGTTTGACCGCGCGCCTACCTGGCAGATCCGTTACCTACACGGGGTCAAAATCCATAGCAGTACTGCCTGCCACCCACTGGGGCCTCACCCACTACCATTGGGCACAATCGCCAAAAGGTGGTGGGCAAGGCGGGGACATCCCTCCTCAGATTCCAAAACCGTCCTCATGTCGAGTCGCTAAATTTGGTTTTTGGGCTACCAGAAGAGTATGATCTGTGGGTTTTGGTTGGGATCGCCTAGGGTCAATGGCACAGAGGTGCAATTTCCTGCCAAACAACAGCATAAGAGTTAAATCAAATTCGATGTGCTGAAGAAAACTGGCGTCAACCCAGAATGCTGAATTGCATATGTACTTTGGTCGAAAGCGTGTAGTGTCATCAGCGAGTACTGCCCAACTCGCTCTGAAACATCCTATTCATTGTCGCGCCGGTCCGGACTGTGCTACGCGAAGTGAAGACAAAGGAATTCAAGGAGATGAACGATACCGAAGAGAGGGAGAGGCAATTATGACCGCCCGACACAGGGGGCATTCGACGTCGTGGAAGTCTGCATGCAGAGAGAAGTCATCCTGTGACCCCTAGAGACATATAAAGTGTTCTGTGGGCAAGCTAGGGCAAGCGGATGCTGGCCAATGTGGACTCTTTTGGAAGGGTGAAATGTAAGCATACCGCGGGTTTCCAATTGACACGCCCTAGGGGGACGTAGTAGACGACATCAATGAAGGCCTTGTGCCCCTCCGCCAGACTCATTAAAAGCTGCTGAGGAACTACTGGCACGGAGGAGAGGCTGGTGTAGATGACAATCAAGCGCAGGATCTTGTCTGGTGGACCCGAAACGGCAATGCTTTCGATGGGGCCAAAGAGTTCAGACAGGTCGGTGTACTCCTCAGCTGCGTTGACAGCCTTCACAGTCTTGAAAAACTTATCTAGCACGCTGCTATCCGCTTGCATCCATAAGTCGTCTTGAAGCTGCAAAGAACGGGAAGAAACGGTTACCAGGGGGGGGGGGCGTTTTGTGCATCAGGGAGATCCGCAACCGCATATAATGTTTACCGACCTATACTGATTGCATGAAAGAATACGAACAATTTTACTTTGCATTGGAGTTTCAGTCTAGGGTCCTTGTAAAGTAACCGAGAAGGGATACGGAGGAAAACGAGACTGGAATGACCAGTTTTGGTTTACTTGATGACAGGTGAACTGTCATCTACGACGATGCCCACCGTGTTGTGCTCCACAGAAGAGTGAGAGCAGGGACGGTGACTTGCACGTTAATTCGTTTATTATAGCATTGTCCAGCCTACGCAAGTGTATATAATACCTGATTCTCTTCTAATGACGAAGAACTTGGAGATACATCTTGAGGGGGTTGTGTCAGATCATGCTTTGAGCCGATCTCAGATAGGCGGTGACATCTGATCTAGGTCAGCAATATTGAACTCAGCAAGGAAAGCCAAGATAGCTATCAGACACTTTGAATCGAACGATCTGCCACTTTGGTCGCGAGCCCATGCCTGGGGTCGGTTGAGGTCAGCAGTATTTAGTCACATGGCGGTGATTTCCATCGGTCTACAATGACCGCACATGAGGATACAGACGACTCCGCTTTGCTTTGGATCTCCTGGGTCGGAGGTCAGATCTGAGACCTTTCTCAGGATGCTGGCTTTCGAACGAACTTCATTCCGGCTGCATGAAAAAAGGATACTCTGCAAAAATGGCTACTTAAATGGCATGCATTCTCCCCATTGATTTTCGATGGCCTTTAATATTCAATTATATTTCATGGAAAACATGACGAAAATATTCATTCTTTTGCTTAGTCGGTAGAAATTACGCCTTATTTCAATTTTATACTCGAAAGAACGGTATAATTCGGGCTTAGAAAAAGTCTCTAATTGTGAGACTTTTAAGTACCGTGAGATGGACGTTCATAAAACGTTATTTCTCTGCATTTACCGATGTGGCTTTTAAAGCTAACAAAATGGGTCAAGTCCGCTGTTAAATGTTATGAACTCAATATGGCCTCCTCATAATACCCTAGAGAAATGTATGGTTTCCCGTACGCGGAAAGTATATGGCTTGTAGTTTGGAAACCCTGAATGCAAGTGCAACGGCAGGTCAAGCTTCAAAATTATTCGGGAATTGGAAAAGTTTTGGTAAACCGAATTATACCCTTCCTTTGAATATTAAGTTGGAAGAAGACGTAATTTCCTACCGAGTAAGCGAAAGAATGAATATTTTTATGCATGTTTTTCATGAAGTATAGTTGAATTCTTAAGGACATCTAAAATTAATGAGAAAAATGCTTGCTAACTGAGTAGTCATTTTTACGGGGTATAGTTTTTCCACGCAGCCGGAAAAAAAGTTTGTTCGAAAGCTGGCATCCTGAGGTAACCGAATTACTACGGAATTATGTTGCACGATGATTAGTTTTACAACCCTACTTACTTAATCTTTCCGAAACGAAAACGCATTTCGGAATTTCGGTTGACATTTCATGAGTTAGCCCACCTACTGTATTCTCAACTTGTCTGTCGACGGTGTTGGTTCAACTTCAAAACTTGCAGGCATGAATTAGTACTTTGCAAAGAGGCATCTTATTTCGTTAACATTAACTGGAGTGTTTAAAAATAGAGGTAGTACTGAGAGGACATCCGTAAGTTGCTCTTACAGGATGGAAGCCGATTTTTCCAGCTAGTTCGCAAAAATAAAATTCATTTTTGGAATTAAATTCCTGCTTTAGCGTTACGAATTCCTTCACTTGTTCCGTCAGGTCTTTCCAGGTTTCATCGTTCCGTAGATGCTCTCCACGTCTGTCAAGGAGTAAAACCTGAAAAATATTGATACAAGTGGCACGTACAATGCGTTCAGAGGGCCCATCTAAAGTGTCCATTATCCCCTCTGGTTGCAAGGCAGCCCAGTCAAGTTGAGAAGACATCTGAAACAGGAGTCGGTGTAAAGTGCACCAATAAGCATAAATTTAAAGCCAAGTTACGCGGCGAGCAAAAGGAAGTATTACTCAGAAATCTGAAAATGTCTTGATGGTTAAGTATATTTCAGCAAGGAAGTGTGTGTGCGGGTATGGAACCCATACCCAGCAAAAGAGTGCATAGCTGAGACTTTGTTGGGCAGGAATTAACGACTAAAGCCGCGGACAAAAAATGCTGCCAATTCTTAAAGACACACTTTTCTAGATTCTGACAACACTGCCTTAATTGGGAGCAAAGAAGAGAGTTTGAAAAAATACACAAATTCAGTAGGGAAGGGGTTCTGTTATGAGGTGATATGCGCCGTCCCCTATGGGCAACCCAAAAGTTCGTCCATCGTGAGAGCCGAGGACCACTATGTCACTCGCCTCCCACGCCTCCATTGGCAAGGCCAATCAGAAATGAGTGGGGGCAGAGTGGCTTAATGTGCTTCTGCGTATGTCGTACGCTTGTGGGATCCAACACGCACACGAACCAGACCATAAAGTTAACGTTAGCAAGGGGCACACGCCAACTTGGAACGGAAACTTAGAAGGAGCATGTTCAGGTTCGACATGGGCATAGTTTCTGTTCTATCAACTCGAACTTCATATGGATTCGAGACCTTTTTTAGATAGCAAGCAGGTAGCGGTTAGTCCTACTTCATTATGCAATCCAATTCACAGGCTGTTAACAAACTGTTAGTGGCACCTCTCGAGATCGAAGGTAGAAGCACGGTTTTAAAACTTGCGAGCATGTCCGCTGTAATAACGTGGCATGGGGAAAATGAGTCGGGGTCAATATAATCATCCACCTTTATTTAAGCTATTGCACGGTTCATGCGTAACTGGCTCCGCTGAAGCCTGGATAGGTCAAGTCTTCTGAAACGCTTTCTGTGGCTGGCAAATAGAAAAGCCAATTGTTTGATGCGTCACCCTTTTCAAGGATAGGTGGCGGATCGGATCATTGTCAGAGATAAACGAATACAAAATGCTCACAGCGCCGGCAGGCAAACCCTAGTAACTCAGATGGTGGCTAGTTTAAGGTACCCCCTGTTCAACTCCGTTCCAGGATACCCGTCTTCTGACTGAGCGTTTCGCATTCCTACGGTCTGTCAGACAGCTGACACCGACTAATGTTCTGCATATAAAATGAAGAAGTCTCTCGAAGAGATTCTGAAAACGCCTGTGAATAAGCCGGAGTCCTCTTCTTGGCTTAGCAACAAACCGTAAACGCCGTTTTGATTGCATAGGGTTAACAGAAACGAATACTTTTAAAGCTAAAGCGGAGCCAGAGCGCGGAACGATCTCGTTTCCTGATTTCCAAGTCGGGCTTATTTCTCAGAAATTGGGACCGTCAAGCACTTCGAACCCCTGCATGCCAATCCAGTAACAAGCCTAAACACGCGTTCTAGACGGAACAGTGGACCTGTACCTATTTGGGGATTTCATGTCAGAAACAAACAGGCTGTGTAAATATAGAGCAACTATAGACAACTTATAGTTCAATCAATATGTAACAGAGTTGCCGACAAAACAAGAGACCTCGGAATGGCTTACCGGTCGTTATCAGCCAGGCATACTTCCCACCAAGTCAAAGGGTCTCAGAGGTCAAACTCAGACTCCAGAAGGCATTATCAAGAGCGTTTATGAATAAGCCATAAACCCAGATGGCAATATCTGGTCAATTTGCCACTGTCGGGCAGCGATGTCCACCTTCAGATTGGGCTGTACTTGGCACTAAACTGGAACTACTGGAGTTTTTTACGAGCGGTAGGAAGTCTATGATGTCGCACACATTGCTAGTATCAGAAACACTAGTGCACTGTTTGTGTGAAGTGCTTGGCTAAACTGGATTACAATGATACTAATGGAAGGTACCCATTTTCTGTCAGCGTCAGGGTATCCACATTTAACTGGGAATTCCCCGTCTTCATCCAGCCTATATATACTACATGACATATTTCATGCTTCAATTTATATACATTAGGTCAGCATTTGCTAAGCTGGAAGTAATTAGACATCTGGTTGTGAAAAGACGAGTATATATTAAATACCTATTACTTACTTGTACTTAGTACGGCTGAGGTCATGCCTGATCTAGCCGGCCTCGATGGTATCACGAACTTTACCTCTCCACGTGTGACGATCCGCGGCAGCAGATCTGGACAGTTAAAAGTTAAACCCATTCTCTCAGCCAACGATGGAGACCGAATACCAAAGGTCCAAGAACCACCGCCAAGTCTTGACGAACTGTGTCGAGCCAGGTTTTGAATTGACCCCCTCTTCGACGCCTCCAATGGGGTAACGGTGCCGGATCGAGGGCAGTAGCACTGAGCTCGTGAGGTGGACGACGAAGAACATGCCCGAACCACCTCAATCGTCTTTTCTGGATGGTCAGCGTTATTCTTGCGATGTTATCGCAGCAAGCGAGGACTGTCTCATTTGAGACGATATCGGTGCACTTCACTCGAAGGATGTTCCTCAAGCAGTGGTGGTAAAATACCTCCAGTTTTCGCTCGATCTCCAAGCGCAAAACCCAACATTCACAACCACAGAGAAGGACATAACGAACAGATGCATGGTACACGCGAATCTTAGTGGCGATGAAGATGTCGCATCGGATCAATGGGCATTTTCGAAGGCTTGAGAAAACCCCGAGAGCAGCATCAATTCGGGAAACACTGTTATCCTTACTCTGGCCATTCGGCAGCAGTCTCACCCCGAGGTAGTCAAAACTGTCTACTTCTTCAAGTTGACAGCCATCAATCCCGAGAGATGCCTTCTCCTGGTCAGGGATACAGCCGAAAAACACTTTAGTCTTCCAAGTGTTTATGGATAAACCGACCGACTTAGCGACCTCGTTCACCCCTGACACCATGGACTGCAGATCACCAAAACTTGAAGCAAGTATGGCAACATCATCGGCATTGTCGGGATCAGTCAGTCGAGTGAAAATTCAACATCGTCACCTTCGTATAGGGCCCCCCGAGAATCCTGTCAATAGCGTAGTTAAAGAGGATGGACGACAGTATACAACCCTGTCGAACGTCAGACCGAATACCAAACAGTTGGGATGATTGTTGCGGACTAGGACACGCTCGGTGGTGGGGCGATAATAGGCCTTGGCAATGGTGATGATTTTTGGCGGTACACCATATAGAGTTATTGTCCGCCATAGGGAGTCACGATGGACGGAATCGAACGCGGTGGCAAAGTCAAAAAAGCAGACGGTTGTCCGTTGTTGGTAGGCATGGCAAAATTCGGAAACGTGCCTTAGTGTGAATACCTGGTCTGCGCATCCACGTCCAGCACGAAAGCCGGCTTGGTTAGGCCTCGTCCTAGTCACGCACAGCCTGGAATCGCCTGAGTAGGACAATAGTGAAAATCTTCGCGGAGTCGATAAGGTTTATGCCGCGGAAGTTCTTGCATCTTGTCTTATGTCCATTCTTGAGGAAAGGTAAAAGGATGCCTGAGCCCCACTCATCAGGAACAACCTCGTCTCTCCATGCTTGCTCAAGCACTTCATGAGCCAAGGCGCTAGTGTCAACACAAGACTTGTAGATTTCAGCAGATATACCACCTTCTCCGGTGACTTTTTGTTGCGTAGCTTTCATATGGCATCCGCCACCTCTTCCTCTCCCCCAGAAGGGGTGTCGCATGGTACTAAATGGGTTGGAGAGGGAAGAAACGCAGCTGCAAAGGGGAGCAAGGGCGTGGTGGGTTGGGTATCGAAGTTGAGATGGTACTCGGCCAGAGCTCTAATTTGGCCGAGTTGCCAGCAATAAAGTCACCATTCACGTAACGAACAGAGTCACTCAGTGTAAGGGCTTGCCACCAACTTGGAGGATAAGTTGGTAGAGTTTTCGAGTGTCACCAACGTTCGAGGCCTGTTCCATGGAGGTCGTTATTTCAGCAAAATATTGCTTCCGTCATCCATGGCCGATTTTGCCAGCATGTTTCAAAGTTGGCGGAAGGCAACGAACACCACACAGCTTCTCAGTTTTCACAGAAATCATCCCGTGGCTCACAAACGAAGCTATGTTAAGACGCTTTTCAAACGGATCCAAACTCATTGCAGCAAACCGGAGGACAGAGCACGTGAGGCCCGTTATCTCAACGAGCAGTTTGTGCAAAATGGCTATCCGAGGGCATTCATAAGTCGCTGCCTACGCGGTCGCCCTCGGAGGACTCAGACAACAACAACACCGACGATATGGCATTCTCTGCCATACATTAAGGGCCTTTCAGAAGCGACCGTGCGCATTGCTGCGGAGCTAGGTGTTGGAATTGCACACCGCCCAAAGCCACCATGCGTAAGAGGGTCATGAAAACTAAAGACCGGTTAAAGTCTGAAGAGCAATCTAGAGTGGTGTATCACATCCCGTGTCAAAACTGTCCTTGTAACTACACAGGTCAGACTGGACGCATGTTCGGATCGCACATACACGAACATAAGCCGGCTGTGCGACGAGGCGACACATTATCAGAAGTGGCCGCCCACACCTACGAAGTGGGTCACGAGTTTAACTTCGCGGCCACCAAAATAGTCGCCCACGCCGTAAACAAAACAGGCCGACAACTGATTGAGGCCTGGGCCCCGGATGAGAATTCAGTTGATCGATTTATCGATCTGGCGCCGGCGTATAGAGCCCTGCGTAGTCACTTCTAATCTTGCGCCGTCGGTCGATGATTGGCCTACATGCTTTATAACTGTCGCTTGTTCTGCTGCTACTACTATCTCTGACGATGGACTCCTACACGAGTCCAAAAACTCAAGACAGTAAACAAAATGTTCCGGTGCTCGAACCCTCTTCCTCTTCATTTAAATATCCAAGGATTTTCTCAACTGCTCCATAGACTGACGTTTTCAGTGACTATCACAAGCTACTGCTGAGGATATCGCCTTACTTGCTTCAAGTTTTGGTGCTCTGCAGTCTATGGTGTCACGGGTGAACGAGGTCGCTAAATCGGTCGGTTTATCCATAAACGCTGGGAAGACCAGTGTTCTCAAGTTGCATCCCTGACCAGAAGGCACCCCTCGGGATTGATGGCTGTCAACTTGAAGGAGTAGACAGTTTTAAATACCTCGGGACGAGGCTGCTGCCTAATGGACAGAGTAAGGACGACATTGTCTCCCAAATCGATGCTGCCCGCTGGGTTTTCTCAAGCCTTCGGAAATGCCCATTGATCCGACGTGACCTCTCCATCGCCACTAAGATTCGCGTGTACCGTGCATCTGTCCGGTCTGTCCTTCTCTACGGTTGTGAATGTTGGACTTTGCGCGTGGAGATCGTGCGAAAACTGGAGGTATTTGACCACCACTGCTTGAGGACCACCCTTCGAGTGAAGTTCACCGACTTCGTCTCAAATGAGACAGTCCGCTTTCGCTGCGACAACATCGCAAGGATAACCCAGATCATCCAAGAAAGAGGACGGATGTGGTTTTGGCATGTCCTTCGTCGTCCACCTCAGGAGCTAAGTGTTACTGCCCTCTATCCGGTACCGTTGCCCCATTGAAGGCGTCGAAGAGGGGATCAGTTCAAAACCTGGCTCGACATAGTTCGTCAAGACATGGTGGTTCTTGGACCTTCGGTATTCGGTCTACGTCGTTGGCGAAGGGAATGGGTTGAGCTGTCCAGATCTGCTGCCGCGGATCGTCACGCGTGGAGAGGTACAGTTCGTGATATCACCGAGGCGGCTAGATCAGGCATGATCGCAGCCGTATCAAGTACAAGTAAGTAAATACTGCCTTCTCCGTCGGCTCGGGCCGTAAAACAGAACCGGATATCTCTGTTTAGGACCTCGGCAGTGCTGGTTTGCCTGATTTTTGCGACGACGAGGCGTCTAGGGCGTGGACATTTTTGGTACGGAGGAGAGGTGGCTTATCAAGCGTACGAATGAGGACATGGTCCGACCCATGGGCGTTACCAGTTTCGGCATCACGCATAGATTTGCTATCGTGAACCCAGCTGCGGAACCTTAAGCTGACTAGTAGGTAATTAATCTGACTAGCTGTATGGTGATGTTGGAAACCCGTGTTGGTGACAGGCAGTCGGTTCTGATCAACGAAGTTCAACAATCTCTCGTCCTTTTAATATCGGGGACCAAGCTCAAAGCGACGATGAAGATGACTGTTCGTGGAGTCGCCAGGTACAGTCCGACCACTCCAACCCCCGGCGATAATCAGCAGATCGCGGCAAGGGACTCGTTCAACTAACGCTTGCAACTGTCAGTAAAACGTCTCTTTATCGGTCGCACGTAGGCCATCCGGTCATTGACTGGTTCCCAAGCAAGTAACACGAGGTCCTCTTGTTGCGAGAGGGCGATAGCCACGCCGTGTCTGCCAGAAGAGTCACGCGGGCCGCTGTGGTACAGGGTGAAGTGTGATTCGACTCCGGGGATCTTTGTTACTCGAGAGCCTGAGTCAGGAAGTCGAACTTCAGACAGACAGCAGACATCTGCATCGTACTTATTAAGGCTGAGCGCGGTCAGACTTTGGGTACCGGGATTCAGAAACGTTCGCACATTCCAGCATTCAATGCCAAGAGTCCGGCACCGATTGAGTAGTCCAGCTCGCATACTATTCGCCCGCACCACTGGACCAGGGTTGCGGGGCGCGTCGCTTCCTGTGTAGAATGGGTCGTAATACTGGAGTCGAACATATTTCATGAGGTTGCTTGGGAATTTCGAATACAGGCGGGTCCCCAACAGTCGCTCAGATTGTTTGAGGTTGTCCCCTTTAGCGCTTTGGCTTAAAGGTCTAACAATAAGGCAGATGTGGCAAGCGTGCCAGACCTCGGCGTCCGAACCCTGCTGGTCCGTGACTGTTTATTTGTCAGATCTAGGCCTGTTTAATTCGCAGTTAACTTACACTGAACGGTTGTTCCACTACGCGCCAATTGCGGACGCGCTGGGTAGGCGACGGCTAGGCTAATGCAACCCGTCTTTCCTCATAGTGATCTATTATATTAGTGTAAGCACTTTAAAGGGTGCGAAACCAATATTTTCAGATGCGGTTGAGTCATGAGCAGGAACCGGCTCGAAAGACAGGCAAAACTCACCACGGTAAACCGACACGGTGTCGTCTGAAGCGATGAACCCACTAGGAGGTTCGCAGCTCGAACTCCTATGGGGTTGGCAGGCGTTGCGCACGCTTTCTATTGGTTGTTAACGCCTCTTCGATTATTGGTTTGTTTCTGGGCGGGTTGTTAGAAGATTCGCGGCGTGAAACAGCCGAGGGCGTCAAGTGTAGCACACAACAAGGTGGCGAAGCACTGGGAATAAATCTCCTATGTTTTCTGACGTCGTCCTTTTGACTGCAAATTGGCCCCCTTCGGCAGATTAAAAGACACGATCGGGCGTTTTAATACTTATAATTAGTGTACTAATCTGACGACTGGTGGATTGGCACAAATTTCCAACTGGAAGCACGTATGTTCTTTCGGTCGAATTTTATCATAAGAAGCACAAAATTAGGGTTGGGATTGTGGTTAAGGTTATGTCTAGGATTAGGGTGATGGTTGGGACTAGCGTTTTGGGGTGGGATTTATGTTAATATTAAGAGAATTATTAGGGTGAGGGTTAGTGTTGCGGTTATCGTCAGGTTTAAAGATGAGTTGGCCTGCCCCCAATCAACACTACAATTTGTACTGTATCCAATTACACTGTGTTATTAAGTTCATGTAAACGGACAGATCTGTGCAATTTTAATTTATAAAACCTTTATTCGGACCTTTATTGTGTTTATTGTCAGCAATCTACGGCTTCAAAAATTTCTCCATATCAGTCATTGCCACAAATCCAGAACAACTTAAATTATGTTTAGACTTACACGTACTTGTGCGCATGCGTTGGCTTTGGCGCTGAAATAAGGAGACCGTGCGCGTGCTCTTTTGTCAGTGTCTTACCATTCTACTGCTCTGGCCAGCGCTTTGCCTAGTGGGTCGTGGGCGGTTAAATCTAGCCAAAGTCTCTTTAACTGCTATTTTCATTTTAGCCCAGCCAGAAAACCTGTCGTCCGGATAATATGGGCTTGATTAGCCTCAACGACTCAAAATGACTACTCTGTAGTGGAATTTAAACACATCAGCCCCTTCTTTGCTTGCCTTAAGAAAATAGACTGATG